TCTTTAGAATTGCATTGCCAGTGATGGAAAAATCATTCCCTTGAATCTTTCATGTTGTGCTAGAAAACGTGCTGAAAAAACTCCCGAGTGAAATTTGATTAAACATAGTTTTGTTACTGAAATTTGTTTATAACATTCTTTATCATTAGGCAGGAAGCTGTCAAAAGTGATAGTGGGAAAAAATTTAAAAAAAAACTATTTTGCACACATTTATCACTCGTGAACCCAATTGGCGATTTTGATGCTTTGATGAGATGCGTCATGAGTGGCGCCGGTGGTGTAGTGGTAAGCAGGCCCTCACCCCAGCAGGCCTAGGTTCAATCTCAGTCAGCGCCGCCGAGATGTTCTGAGGCATAACATATCTAATAAAGCCGTTGGTCACCGTAACATTTTTCTCACGTATAGCATTAACAATAAAATTTCTGACCAAAGCACACAACTTATATCTGATATAATTAGCTAAGACATGAATCTGCATGCAAAAGTTATGAATTGGTTCGTATCTGATCTATTCTGGACAAATTATTTTTATCTACATAAAAAAAAATCCTATGGTGTTGACAGTTCGGATCACTGCACATTTAAATCGGCCGTTTACGATTTTCGATCATAAATCAAAATTAAGTGTTGTGTCGGTTTGTCGGTGACTTGTCTACGAACAAGTTTATTTCTAATGTTATCTATACCAAAACACGTCACTCATTCAAAAAAAATTAAAGGGTTGTGTCCTAGACACGACCGCAGTATGACGTAGAACCACGCAAAATTGATGTTTGGTACACATTTTTGACATTTGACTTTTTTTGACTTTAAATGATCTTTATTTCTTGTATTGTGTGGTTTACATGTATTACTTATCAAGTGACACAGATGCGTCTTTTCAACTTTAGTTCTTTTGACATTTCAATTATTATTAATTACAGTTCCTAGTCCTATCAGGCCTGTTTTAAGAATGACCACCTTGGTGGGATTGGATTGTTTTAAATTTGAAAAAGGAGACTACTTATAACTACTATTTACAACTACAACTAAGCTACAACTACTATATACACCTACTCTACTATATACAAATTGCTTATCAAAGCATGTTCTGATAAAATTCATTTTTGTGTAAATTTAGTGCTAATTTCGTTAATTTTGGAATCTATTTTGGTAATGCCTACCTCTTCGTGTAAATTTGTTATTCTAGTGTCGAAAGAATGATCAAGAACCATTCTCAGCACTCTATTCTGAGCTACCTGAATTTTGTTCCTGTGAGTCTGTGCACATGATTCCCACACCGGAGCTGCGTAGAGGATCGCAGGTGCTATGATTTGTATGTAGACAGCCAGTTTGTTCACTCTTGAGAGGCGGGATCTGTGGCAAATCAGCGGATACAGACACCTAACCAAGACAGAACACTTGACTACTGTTTTCTCTACATGCGAATGGAAGAGGAGCTTTTCATCGAACAACATCCCGAGATAGGTTACTTCGGCAGATCACTCAACCCTTGTGCCATCCATGATTATAGTACAAGATGGAGCCGGTTTCAGTTTGGGCGATTGGCGATGGAGGAACATGATCGCTTCTGTTTTGGAGGCATTGATTTTGATTTTCCACGTGGTGGCATAATCAGCACAGGCGTTAAGGCATCGTTGAAGTTTGTTCGTTATTTCGTGAGGCATCCTTCCTTTGACGGCTATTGCGGTATCATCTGCGAACAGGAAAAACACGCAACCGTCACCGAGGGGAGGAATGTCGGAAGTGTAAAGGCTGTAAAGCAAGGGGCCCAGCAGACTGCCTTGCGGGACTCCTGCTGGGATGGAAAACGTGTCGGAAAGACAACCATTCAACGATACCTTAAACGACCTTTGCTGGAGGTAGTTACGGGTGATTTGAGCCAGATGTAATGGAAAGTTGAAGTTACAAAGCTTGTATACAAGCCCATTGTGCCAGACATTATCAAACGCTTTCTCAACGTCTAACAAGGCCATGGCTGTGGACATGAATACAGCTTTGTTACTTCGGATGTTATTCATCACCCGTACTAGCTGGTGATTGGTGGTGTTGTGCCCTGAACCTTCTCACCTTCGATATGTAGTGGATAAAATTCGATCAGAGCTCCAACACTGAGAAACGCAGCGGCAGGAACGGTAGCACCATCATCCAACCAGCCTCGAACTTTATTGCCAGGGATCTTCATGCAGCGAGTGTATCAGGAGGATAATAATCCGCTTTTGCATCACAATAAAACTCTTCGTTTGATGGAAACACTTAGTCAAAACACTACATTTATTTGCCTTATCAAATTAAACTACACGATTATACAAAAAGAACACGAATCTTCTGCGGTTACCGCAAACGTATGAAGATGACCGGTGGTCTGTCCGATGACCTGTTCGTAACTAAAAACTTTCCCTTTCTATCCAGAGCAGCGCAATAGATCCAAGCCAGGTCGACACACTGATCGGTCGTTATCATCCTCTCTTTATACTCTCATTAGATCACTTTAGCTGCTATGTGGTACCTGGTACCTACTGACCTAAGCTACCAGAGAAGAGATGAATTTTTATATACCTAAACCTCGATTCCTTATCCCCATCATTGGTATATATTGTACAGTCTAGATTGTAGACAATAGCCCAAACGTAAACAAATCCGCCCGGCGGTTGCACGGACAGGCTATTGTACTACTCAACTGCAATAGATGGATGCCAGGGTTGTAGTTGACAAGGGATCTGGATTCCGAACAGGTGGAATGCCCCTTTCTGAATCCAAATTGTTCCGGAAGGAGAATGTTATTTTCCTTTACAAACTTGAGCAAACGATTGAGAATGAGTTTCTCGAACAATTTGCTCAGTGTTGAAAGGAGGCTGATTGGTCTGTAGCTTGAAGGCAATGTTGGATCCTTACCGGGCTTGCGGATTGGTATGATTTTTGCTACTTTCCAGATGCTTGGAAAGTAGTGCAGTTCCAAGCATCTGTTGAAGATAGTGGTTAGAAGAGACTGCACTTTCCTGCTGAGTCTCTTCAAGATCAAGTTGAATATACCGTCAAACCCGGGAGCTTTCAGGTTCTTGGTGCATTTCAGCGCTGAGCAAATCTATTGAACTGTAATCATATCCGCCGGAGGCACGACACAAGGGGAGGCATCTAGGTTTTGAATGCATTGCGCAACCTGATGATTTGGATAGCAAGCAGGTTCAAGCAGAACGATTTGCAACCGCACCTGACAGGATTTCACGCCGTTTTTTATGAATGGGGCGGAGCAAAAAGTTTTTTTTATGCAGAATATGTAAAAAAGGATGGACTTTGGATGTTAATATAATTGCATATATAGATGTACCTGATATGTTTTACCGTCAGTTGTGTGTAATTCACCAACTTAATATCATCGAATGTTTTTCAAGCAATTTTTTTTTTCAAATTTGTAAGTTTCGGTGTGGGAAGAAATTAAGGGAAAAACTCCTGTTTGTACTAATAATTGTCGTTTGTTTAAAATCTATTTTCTGGAAAAAAGTGATCGTCAAAGTACATGTCTTTTTCGGGTTATTGTTGGGGGGGGGAGGGGTTGTTAAGGAGGGGAAGAGAGGTTGTTGTGAAGGGGGGAGGGGGGTTACATATATTGGTTTTCCTCATTCCTCATTGTATCGCATTCCTCATTGTGGTCACGCCGTGATCCACCTTTAGCCGCTGACTTGGTCCTGCTAGCTGTAGGACCAAGTGCCACGCCGTTCGAAGCGACAATGAGCAAAAGCACGTAGTAGTAGTAAAATTATGTTTATTTCTGTTGATTATGGTAGTACATTCATTTATCATATAAATTGATTAGCCTATCTGGCTCTTCATTTTAGTTTAATTTGATATTCTAATTTTAAATTTGCGCTTTTCAACTAGTTTACAGAATACCTCTTTGGGAATTTGTTTTATTTGAATTGAAAAAAAGTGATAACCTACCTAACTAGAGCAAAAGCACGACAGCAGTGCTGTTTTATATCTTTTCAGGTTCAAGCAGAACGATGTGCAACCGAACCTGATAGGATTTCCCGCCGTTTTTTTTTATGAATGGGCTGGAGCAAAAAGTTTCTTTTGTGCAGAATATGTAAAAAAGGATGGACTTTGGATGTTAATATAATTGCATATATAGAGGTACCAGATATGTTTACAGTCATTTGTTGGTAATCCATCGAGTGTATGTCTCCTGTTAAGCATTTTTTTGAAAATGTTGACTCTCCATGTAAAAAATTAATTGTTTGTACCCTAATTGTGGTTTGCTTAACGCTGACTTGGTTCTGCATGCTGCAAGACCTAGTGCCACGCCGTCCGAAGCGGTAATGAGCAGAGACAGGAGAGCAGCGCTGATTTATATCTTTTCAGGTTCAAGCAGAATGATGCGCAACCAATTGGTATTGACTGGGTTTTGGAAAAAGGCTTATTTCATGAAAACAGTGATATAATTATCATTTGGACATTTTCAAAAGTTTAATTACAGAAAAATTGGAAAAATATTTATTTCAGAAGGTTTGTAATGTAATATCCTATCGATTGGCGTATTTGGATTTTAATTTCATCTATAAATGACAAACTTATAAGCGTTCAAAACCTAACACTCCTTCACCACACATATTTTTTGATTTGCACCCCAGTATAGTCGACAAAGACGTAGTTCTACGTCAATAATAAATAAAAAATATTGATGCTCTTAAATATATCACGTTGTCGCTACTTAACATTGCAAATACGTTAATTTAAACCTTTTTCGAGATCGATAAGCATTAATAATGGATATGATGCGAATTTTCTGCAACAATTTTAATCTTCCATTTTGGATCATGCTGACGTTGCTTTTACCAAAACGAGAGGATGGATGATTCAAAGCGTTTGCACCAAAATCGAACTTTCTTCAGAGGAGATGCTAGGAATTCTTCCACTACATTGTTGTTATTTCCCGGCATTAAAAGCAGCCCGCAGGCACAAATAATACAGCCGATTTTTTCACGCCGGTTTCTACATTTCAGGCTACGGAAATATAGCACCTCGTACCACGTTGGGTAGGATTGTAACACTCGCTTACGCCCTACTGGGGATTCCATTAACTCTAGTTTATTTATCGAGCACGGGTGGAATGCTGGCGAAAGTAGCCCGCGGTGTTTTTTCCAGGTAAGTGAAAACGATTTTTGTTGTTATTTTTATTATGATTATTATTATTATTATTATTTATACCACTACATTCTGTGCCGGCCGCTGTTGACCTGGGAATTAATTAAAAACCATCCCAAGCACACACTGACCGCATGATGTATAATATTCAAAATAAAACTACAAAAATACATGAACAATCAAAAAGCGCATCCTGTGCAGTAGAGTATGATTTTCCGATACATACCCAGAGGGAGCATCAATTCAATAAGCCTAATAAAGATACAACATATTGCTGTTTACACAGCTACTTGGAACTTTTCTGTAATCGTCATTTCATATTGTTGGTTGCGACAAAACTGTTACACTTATCAGTATCTAAAATTGCACCATGACAACGGACCCATTATCGTTAGGGTCGTTGAGCGCACATTTTTTGCATGAGAATATATCAGAGCAGCGTTTCTCAATCTATGGGTCGCAGAAATTCAGACATCCTAAACCAATTGCCACATAGTTTTTATAATTCATCTGGGAATGTTGCATGAAGTTCTAAATATATTACGATGATAATTCAAATTGAGCTATATAAAGCTACTTAACTATTGGTTTTTATTTTTGGAGATTTGATGGCCATTTTGCAATTTCAACCAATTTGTAAATTTTCGGTTTTTGGGCATATTTGGGCCATTTTTTGTTTTATGGGACCATTTTGTCGTTTTACGGTTATTATACGAGATGCCGTTTCCAAGAAAATTTTTAGAGCAACGTCCATTTTGGTGTTTTAAACCCATTCTTGTAATTACAGGCTAGTTTAGCGATTGTGCGGCCATATTTGGGATTTTTACATTTTAAAGATTATTTTGAGGGTTCTCTGAACGATTTTAATCCACAGATGCCTTTATCGCAATTAAAGGCCAATGTTTTCCGTATTTAAGACGGTTTTTTTTTCGAACCATTTCATAGTTTTGAGGTACTTTCTGATTAGTTTTAGTACTACTTTGTCGTTTAGATGAATCTTTCTGTGTGCATATCATTAACACAAATTTAAAGCGTTTTTACCCTTCTTACAAAGAAGGGTATAGATATCACTTGAAAAACCGACTATCGATCCGAGGCCCGGAGGGCCGAGTGTCATATACCATTCGACTCAGCTCGACGAGATCGGAACATGTCTGTGTGTGTGTTTGTGTGTACGTGTGTATGTGTGTATGTGTGTGTATGTAACGAAATGAATGCGCTCACGTTTCTCAGCAACCGCTCAACCGATTTGGACAAACTTGGCGCCAAATGATAGGTCTTGGGGTCCCATTGAACGCTATTGAACGGTTTAGGAATCGGTGAACCGGCTCCGGAGATATGGCCGGAATAAGATCCGGTGAATATGGGCCTTCACGCTGGATTTAACGGAAAACGTATCAAAACCATCATATACCATTCGACTCAGCTCGACGAGATCGGAACATGTCTGTGTGTGTGTGTGTGTGTGTGTGTGTGTGTGTGTGTGTGTGTGTGTGTGTGTGTGTGTGTGTGTGTGTGTGTGTGTGTGTGTGTGTGTGTGTGTGTGTGTGTGTGTGTGTGTGTGTGTGTGTGTGTGTGTGCGTGTGTATGTGTGTATGTGTGTGTGTATGTAACGAAATGAATGCGCTCACGTAGCAACCGCTCAACCGATTTGGACAAACTCGGCGCCAAATGATAGGTCTTGGGGTCCCATTGAACGCCAATTAACGGTTTTGGAATCGGTGAACCGGTTCCGGAGATATGGCCGGAATAAGATCCGGTGAATATGGACCTTCACGCTGGATTTAACGGAAAACGTATCAAAACCATCATATACCATTCGACTCAGCTCGACGAGATCGGAACATGTCTGTGTGTGTGTGTGTGTGTGTACGTGTGTATGTGTGTATATGTGTATGTGTGTATGTGTGTGTGTATGTAACGAAATGAATGCGCTCACGTTTCTCAGCAACCGCTCAACCGATTTGGACAAACTCGGCGCCAAATGATAGGTCTTGGGGTCCCATTGAACGCTATTGAACGGTTTTGGAATCGGTGAACCGGTCCCGGAGATATGGCCGGAATAAGATCCGGTGAATATGGGCCTTCACGCTGGATTTAACGGAAAACGTATCAAAACCATCATGCGACACATCAAATTACTACAGATTTCAAAAATAAGATCAATGCAAGTCGTGTTAAGTGTTCCAGACCACATTGGACACACTTGGACATGTTCCGGGTACCCCGGGGAAGTTGCTTGAATATGAATTGAATTAAAACCCATTAAATCACATTAAAATACGATGCTAAGGTGATTGGTAGCCTCACCAAATAGACTACACCCGGATATATTCCGGGTACTCCCAGGCAGTGCGTAGCGTCACTGGATGACACGGGGGTGGGGGGCTTGGTCACTGATAATGACAATAAAATAAATAAACTTGAATAAGTAAGAAGGGTCTGATCACACCATAGGTGGATAAATTCGGGTTTTTTTTTACTGATTTGACTTAAAATTATTGCCATTAGTTGTAACATTGCCATTGAGGCAGTTATGCAATTTGAAGTTATTGTGTGTGCTTTAAAGTCATTTCAAAGTTTTTAATGTTATTTTGTCCTATATTGGTGGATCGCAAGCTTATGGAGTTTCTGAAAGTGTGATGCAATCATAAAAAAGTTTGCAAACCGCTGCATCAGAGCATTGTTTGTGTATAATTGCGATCCATTCCAGGTGACGTGAAACGCAAATTTTCGACCCGTAAAGTAGACATGAATCACATTTTTATATCAATAGTTATAAATATCGTCACTAAAAATTCTCCTAGAAGTTAAACATTTCGTGACGTGACAACGTGATTTCATTTCATAGTATTTTTTTTTATCCATTAACTCCATTTTAATACTAGGTTTATACTAGGTAAATTAATTATAAAAAACATCGGTGAATGTATTAAGGCTATTCATTTTCTTTCAGTTTCAATCTGATTCTATTTTTACGTTTGAGCAAACACATTTTATCAGCTAAACGAAATTAACGAACCGCAAAATGCCAACACATCAATAATCATCAACACGATTTTCTATGACAGAATATGTTTACCATATTTGAGATTCTTATGACCTCCGGAGCTAAAGCGAAGACAACATATCAAGAAGACTGGCAACTCTCCCATTTTCTCATCATACCACTATGCAGTGATGCAAAATATCCATTGACTTGATGGAAAATTTATCTGGCAGGGCTTAGGGAGGGGGGCCTGTTGCATTTGTTTTTATTTTGTAAAACTATGGTTAAAAAAATACTCGCCAACATTTTTTTTTCTCTGTTGCGACCAGTAATTTGATCTATTGTAGTATATCCCGTGTCCTTAGTTTAGTGCATGTCGTATAACTTCATCACTATTGAGAAATTATGAAGTATTCGGTTTTGATACAGTTGTCATTCTTGCTTTCATCGCAAGGAATCGATTCTAATTTAAAGGTCCCGCTATTTATACCCTTCGGAGTGTTGGAACACCCTCCAAAGGCGCGCCCCTTTGTCAGTCAAAATTGGATTCCTTAGCAACAAAATTAAAGAATGACACCGATAGTGACCATGCATCAGAACCCTAGTCTTAACCACTTCAAACTAGGGAACAACGAATAGAAGATTAGGAATCACATAGATGAAGACTAACTAACTCATTTTTTCCTTGCTTCAAGATCATCCTCGGTCCAGGCAACCTGAGGACTTATCACTATCAACAAGGCATAAAAGTAACAAGGACTAAGATGTGTTCCTTTGATTACTGAAAACTCCTGTTCCCCTAGTTTGAAGTAGTCAAGACTAGGAATAGGTGGTAGATTTTACATTCCGTAACGTACCACGAAAAGGTGATCTACCCACGTTACGGGGTGATGCTATTCATTTAAATTGCGTCAAGGTGACTTTATTTTGGGTTACATTTTTTTCCTGTGACCAATAATATGACATTGAGGCTTGCTACTATTTTAATGGCGAAACAATAAATTTGATTTATTTCATAACAACTATTGAGAGAGCCTTAAAAACTTACTGATTTTGAACAAGCAATGATCGTTTGTTCATGCTTTTTGTAATGAAATCACAAAGTGTCCGGATCTCATAAATTACAGCATCTGAAACTTAAGAAAATTCTCAGTGTTAGGTAATGAATGAATTTCGTAACAAGCCTTTTTATTTTGAATATATCCTCATCAGTTAAATCTCAGACATAGGAACCAAAATTAAATTATAGAAGTTTGAATTTTATGATTTCTAAAATTATGGCTTCGAAACATGCTGAAGTGCACACAGAATAAATTTCATACATTTAAGACTTAGGAAAACGTTCAAGATGAACAATTGTTAACATTCTGGATTTTAAAATAAAAATAATTTTGAGATCCCAAACGCATATGTTTTCAAGATTTTGTAACTCTTTATGAGGATAAAGGATATTTCTGATACAGATTGTAAGTACAAATTCTTGGAATACAAATGTGTATGAAAATCTATGATATTAGCTCAATTGTCATAGTTCTAAGACTAAGATTAAATTGCAAGATCCTTCCTAGACACTCATTTCATAAAAATTGTAGTACATGAATATTAAAAACAAATCAAATAAGAATTTTAATAATTATAATATGTTTGACCTAAAAAAACTCCACAAAATAAATATGCCTGAAAAAATTCGACGAAATGTTATTCAAAATGAATTTTAGGGATTGAAAAAGGGTTTAGGCTTAGACAAGCTTTGAATCTCCTGTTGAAGTTTTTTTATATCTTTATTAAGGAGACTTTCAGAACCTGTTGAAGTTGTAATTCAAGATCTTGGAAAACTTACCTACAATATGAGACTCATAGCATTTTTTGATAGGAATTTTCTTGGAGATAAGAAAGTAAGTAAAAATTAAGATTCAAGAAATTTAAAAAAATCTTGACATCTTACCAAAAGTTATGAAAAATCAGGTTATAATGTAATAATCATCAGGTTTTTTAAGATACCGGATTTTGA